TAACATTATGATTATTATTATTATTATTATTATTATCATTATTATTATTATTATTATTATTATTATTATTATTATTATTATTATTATTATTATTATTATTATTATTATTATTATCATCATTATTATCATTATTATTATTATTATCATTATTATTATCATTATCGTTGTTACTATTATTAAAATTGTTACTTTTAGTAGTAGCAGCAATAATGATAATGATAATATTGATGATAAATAAACAGACGAATAGAACGATAAATGAAACGATTACACGATTAAAGGAATAAATTAATGAACAAAACAAATATTTGAAAAAATAATACGATAAAAAATACTTGCCCTTTTATATATATCTTCGAGAATTTAAAATTAATTACTTATAATAATATATACGTAAATTAAGCGCCTATACCTTGGGAATTAATTTAGGAGAAATTGATCTGTGCAAAGTTTGAAAGTGATTGATGGTGGTGCTGATTATGAGAGGGGGGGGGATGGTGATGATGATGAGGAGGGGGGATAATGATGGTGATGATGATAATGGTGATGGTGATGATGATGGTGATGAGGAGGAGGAGGAGGAGGAGGAAGAGGAGGAGTAGGAGGAAAGTGATGGTGATGATGATAATGAGGATGATGATGATGATGATGATGATGAGGAGGAGGAGGAGTAAGAGGAGGAGTAGGAGGAAAGGGATGGTGATGGTGATAATGAGGATGATGAGGAGGAAAAGGAGGAGGATTATGATGATGATAATGATGACGGTAAGGAAGAGTAGGAAGATGAGGGTAATTTATTTATCAATTATCTACTTATCGATTCATTTATTTACTTATCTATCAATTTAGGAATAATCTGTTTCTTCTCATTATTTTTCATTTGTGTATCTTGTTCCTTTATTTATGTATTAATTTCTATGATTATTTATCGATTTATCTGTTCATTTTAGCAAATCCATTACTACAATATCAAAACACGCACGTACGCACATACATACACACTCTCAAACACACACGTAAACACACACACAAACACACACACTAACACACACACAAACACACTCACACACATACACACTCACACACACACACAAACACACAAACACACACACACACACACAAACACACACACACACAAACACACACACACACACACAAACACACACACACACAAACACACACACACACACACAAACACACACACACACAAACACACACAAAAAAGCACAGTAACAAACTTTCAAATACTCAAAACGCCCATCAATATTCTATTGATTAATGACCTGGCGTTTTTCATCTGGCCTCCCTGTCATAACAAGCCTTCGTTATATGTTAGTATGAATTACCGAAAATTACATTCTCTCTCTCTCTCTCTCTCTCTCTCTCTCTCTCTCTCTCTCTCTCTCTGTCTATCTGTCTTTCTATCTATTCATCTCTATCTATCTATCTCCCTTTCTCTTTGTTTTCTCGCTCTCTATATATAGATCTCTATCTATCTATCTATCTACCTATCTATCTCTCTTTCTTTCTTTCTTTTTCTCTATCCATCCATCTATCTCTCTCACAACAAATTGCTTGGCGAAGACGTGATGCCACTCAGAAGCAGGAAAGCGGAGAGGAAGCATTCCTCACAGCAGGTTCACTCCCATCCCTCTAACCCCCCCCCCTCCCTCCCTTCCCCCTCCCCTGTTCACGCCCAGTCCTCCTACCAACCCTTCCCTTTCGCCTCCCCTCCCCCTATGAGAACGTTTCCTACCTCCACCCTGCAAAATCACGAACACTCCTACATCCTTTTCCCCCGTGCGATCTCTGCGCTTGTGCCCACCACCCCTACCCCTACCCTCCGCGATACCCCCTCCCCTCCCCCTCCACCCGCCCCTAGCCAGCCGACCCACGACCTTGCCGCCGAGCCAGCTCCAACCCCCCCCCGCCATCGGCACCAAGCCCGGCACCAAGCAAACGCTTCCCTAACCATGCTGAAGCATCGGTTCCTAAGATGAGAAGCGAGACATCGACGCAAATAACACCAAGAAGCTATATCAAGAACAGCAATCGGAAGAACAAAGAAAATAATCCTTCCACCCAACCGCCAGTGGGACGACGCATCACATCACCTGGAGTCCCTTTCCCCCTCTACAACCCCCTCACCCCCACAAGGGCCTACGGTCGTTGTCAACAGAACGACCGGAAGCGCAACAAACAAACGAGCAAGACGAGGAAGGTTTTCGTCACCTCCAGAAAAGGGAGAAGAAAAACACGCGAGGAATGCCAAACATCCAAACCACTACAAGGTGCAGAACGTCCCCAGACAGTGTACTTATACATCACAAGTTGTCACCCTGACGCAGAGGGAGAAAATATAGAAGACTTTCTTGCCCAAGGGTTTGAAAATATATCAAATAGCATATAATATAAATATGACACAAATTTTATTCTAGTTTCCCAGTAACTATTAGGGGGCAAAGGTATACACCCAGAACTCTTCACAAATTCAGATGTTTTCCCTAAAAATGTAAAGATATTTTTGAACAAAAACAAGTACAAAAACGACCATTTTGCTCTCCTCGGTCACTTTGAAGAAACTGAAATGATGATCGCGGAGAAAAATATCGACATCCTTTGAATTAACGGAACATGGCTTTATGAAGAAATGTCAAGTAATATCATTAACATTCAAAATTTCAGTGTTTATAGATGTGATGCAGGGCGAGGTGGAGGAATATGCATATACTTAAAGAACACCCTTAAATAATGTGAAATCTCCTCTACATTTGTAAATAATATATCAGTAGAGGACATTTGGGTAGCTGTACAAAGTAGTACGTATCCCTCCTTCATTATTGGTACAACCTATAGACGCCCTCATGCTACGATTACCTCGAAGATGTTTTTCGAGATATGTCAATGAAAAGAAAAGTTTTTTTGGGGGGGATGACTTGAACAATGACCTGAACAAATCAGATTCAATATTAGCTGAGATAATTAAGTAAAAACAAATTAAAACAGCTTATAAATAAACCTACCAGGATCAGAGAAAACACCCCATCCACGCTAGACATCATAATGTCAAACAGATCTCATCTCATTACCTATTCTGATGTTATCCCTTGTCAAACTGCAGATCACGAACTATTAACTATGGCAGTAGACATAAAGAGGCCTAAGCGACAACCTGTCACAAAAATTTCCCGTGACCTGACAAATTACGACCCCCAGTCACTTTGTCAAAATATTTGTGCCAGTCAGTCGACTCTCTCAGAAATTCTTACTACAGATGGCATTTTTAGACAAGTATTCATTCTCTCGAACGTACTAAAAATATTACGGATGCCGCTGCCTTCCTAAAGACTAAATTTGTTAGACGACTCCGCGCCCCATGGAGGAATAAGGACCTCAGAAGAGCTATACATGACCGAAACAACACACATTTTTTAAAAAACAAATAGAACTGATATCACCCTTCATTCCTAGTATAAACAAAACAAAACAAAAGATGTTAAAACATTAATCCAATCAGCATAACCAATTTATCTTCAAATTAGGTCCAATGACTATAAACATGACGCCAAAGAAACATGGGAAACAGTTAAAAAAAAAACAAAAAAAAACAGCACCAAACAATAAACACCACGCAGACACTTCCTGAGATTCCTTAAATAGTATAGAACATCTAAACGACTCCTTCGCAAATATCGGTAGACTCACCTATGAACAGACAGCTGCTTCCTTGGCCCCACCAAACACAACCAAATCAAGTCTCTCACCAAATGCTTTCAGACCACAGTCAATGGGAGTGGAAACAACAGTCTTAACAATAAAACACTTACGTGAAACGAATGCTGTAGGAATGGATATCATTGCTTTTCGATTCATCAAAGAAAGCTTACCCGCAATTGTATTTTATTTAACTATCATTGTAAACACATCTATAGTCACCAGTATCTACCCATCACTGGCAACATGGCATCATAACACCCATTTTCAAATCAGGAGATGCAGAACAATTGAACAGTTATCGTCCTGTGACTCTACTACCAGTGATATCAAAAGTGCTACATAAAATTGTTGCAAATTTACTATCAACATTCTTAGAATCCAATCCCTTATTTCCGAAATGCAGCATGGTTTTAGAAGCAATCTATCCATTGAAACAGCCTTATCAAAAATCACAAACAAAATTTATGATAACATAGACAAGAATCTACTTAATCTATTCACACTGTGTGATATGCCAAAAGCATTTGATAGTGCCAGCCATGAAATCCTGCTTAACAAAATAAAAAATTATGTAATTGACAACTATTGGTTCTGAAGTTATATATCCTTAAGAATGTAGTGAAAATTTGTAAAAATACATCAACCAAGAAACCAGTCTTTTTCGGTGTCTCATAAGGCTCCATATTAGGCCCGATCTATTTCACTATATTTATTAACGACCTATCAACCATTGGCAACAACTGTCTCCTTGTCCAATATGCCGATGGCTCTCAGTTTCTTTACGCTGCCCCTGTAAGCAATTTATTTGAATTGATAAGAAATACTCAACAGACTCACAGAAGCAAGGATGTACTTTTACAGCAACTGTCTTAAACTAAATCCTGAAAAAACTCGATGTATCTTTATAGGAAGTCGGCAAAACATAGCAAAAATCCCCATAAACACAAACTCATATCACACCACGCATTTCCGTTAAAAATCTAAGAGTACAGGAACACAGATACATGGCTTTCGAAACACACATGAATTACACCTACAAAAAAGTAATAGACACACTGATATAGCTAAATCACACATAGAGCAAAATCCCCACTGAGACGAGAATTATTGTACAAACCCTTGCACTCAGCATTATAAATAACTTTTTCCAACGTATGGGACTCAATACACTAATAAAAAAGCACAAAAAACTACAAAACTTTGCCGCAAGAGTGGCAATAGGCAACGTAAATAAACATGACCACATACCCCCCCCCCCCATAAAAAGAAACGTTCGGCCTCAC